AGTGTACAGAGACTGTTTATATCTCAGATATTGAGATTTGACATATATGGGGGTCTCAGAACCTCAAGATCACCAGTCAAATGAGGTATAGAAATGTTCTATGTATTTGTGGTCATTTCCTCTCCTTGCTATTTTACATAGGTGACAAAACTATAACACTCATAACAAGAGACAGTCTTTCTCAATGCTTCTCTTTTTTAACTAAACAGTACAAAAGTTATTTCAACAGCAGAAAAAATGTAATTAAACTTAAATGTTGCTCTTTAAAAAGTCCGGCACTTTTAAAATCATTTCATTATCTTGGGAAAAAAAAAAAAATCTCTAACTTCTCCCAGTAGTTCAACAGGCAATCACTGTGAACTTCCTTCTTGCTACAAGTGAAACAAAAGGTTCCACAACACACAGAAATTCAGCAATCCATCTTTAACATAATGGAATACCCACCATTCCCTATGCATTGCAACTGCAAAGCTGAAGGGAAAAGAGAAAATTAAAATATCAGAGCATGAAAAAATAAGGATATGATCAGCAATGGTACTGAGAGCTGTAATTCCCCCAGGGTTCTGCTAAGGAGACAAAGCTTTTTAATGCATTCAGAAATACACAGTAGGTTATATTTTCAAATCCTGTGCTGTGAGAATTAAGGCCCAGCACTAGATGGGTATGTATGGTATGTATAGCAAGTATGGGTAGAAAATATTTTACAGTTCTCAGTGTGCATTCACTTTTCTTCTTCCTAAAAATAATATACAGTCCCAAGCTATATTAAGATTCAATCTCATAACCATTTTTCAGCCTTCAGAAAATCAGTAGAAAAATTGAAAAATCGCATTATTAGTTTCATAATTCATTCTACAATGTTTATATTCTTTGCTTTCCCTTGAGATGAGAGGTTATCAAAGAACCTTATCCTTCATAAAATCCCAAGATCTCTAGAAAAATCCATTTTTTTTATAGCATGCAAGCATGATTGAATAAGCATAGCCATCACCCACCTCTCTTTATTTTTAGATTGGTATCTACAAAAAAGGTATTTACCTGGAAAAAAGTCTGCTACCTTAGTGCCCTTATGTATTGTATTCTGGTTGGCAGAAAAGGCAATTATTTTCACTTAAAAAAATCAGTCCTTGAATTGGACTGAGTTTAGTACCATACAGTAAAAACCGTGAATTTAATCTTAAATCTCTTTAAATGTAATTGAAATGTAACAGATCAGATTAGAACTAAGCTATGCAATTTTGTGGGCACTCCTAATATGTAACACATTCACTAAGACAACTAGAATGGGTTTGGCAAATGTGACTGTAACTACATACTTTTTGCCTACTCTTCTTTTTTTTTAAAGGTAAATTAAATTAATTTCGCTACTAGAAAAGTAATGCTTATTTTATTTATAATTTTTTTCCCCCCAATTATAGTATTTTAGGACATCCTAAAATGAAATCAATTAGATGAACTCTTAAAAACACCCATGTGGTTAAATGTATAAAGATGTCAGGATCTCAGCATCATTTGCTTTGCTTTTCACATTCATTTCTAGAAATGACAAAAGTAGACAACTTAACTGTGTCAGCATCAATTGGACTAAAAATAAATTCTTAGCTTTCCATAGTATTTTCCATAGTATCCCTTTTGCCCATAAGAAGATTTTGAATGTGACATTCATACTAAACTCTCATATTTTATCTCCCTCCCACATTTATATCCCATGAATAGCAGTTAGGGAAGACATTGCATATTAAATTGAGTTGTGAAAAAGAGTATTCTAACTGGATAGGAAACAAGCCAAACTGAATTGAAATCTGTGGAGTAATGTTGCATCTTTCTTCTAAACAAGGGCTTTATTTCAGAACAGCGAAATTTTACTGAAACTGGACAATAGTGACAAAATTGTGTAAAGAAAGATGACAAAAAGGGTGACAGCCAGACAACAAAATGATGCTAAATTCCATCATCCAAACAAATCAGGCTAAGACTAGTATGCCATTTGATCTACTGAAAGGAAAACTTCTAATAGGGAAGAAAGAAGGAAAAAGTAACATTAGAGAAATGGAGAATTATTTTTTAAGTTGAGTTTCAGCAATTGCATATAATCTAAGAGAAGAGAGAGTAATTGAGAAACAGAATATTAAAAAAGAGCCTGAAAATCCAGAGATAATCCATCAGAAAAGATATCTAAGTATTAAGGACAAGAGATGTGGAATAGGAAAAGTCAGCTTTCAAAACCAACATATACTTTGTATGATAAATACCTTTTAGAATAATTCATTTTTTCCAGCACTTGATTTTTTTATTGAAGTGGATTATGTTGTGGATTATGTATTAGGTTTTTTTAAATGTTTTAAACCCATACATTCTTTAACATACCGACATATATGCACCCACATCCACACCAAAATACTCTCTCTATAGGTAAGGAGTAACACATAAAAATGAACTGCATGAGTTGTCTTAACAGATGAAGTTGCTTTGATTCTTACTCATGGGAAGCATAAAAGTGGATGAATGTATATGCATTTGATAGTGCAAATATACCCATAACTACACATTTTGTGAAACAAGATAAATACTAGTTATAATTTTTAGTTGAAATTAGAATGACCCAAATGTCAGTTAATTTAACTGTATTTCTTTCTTGGTTCTGATATTTTTTTTGTTCTATTATTTTAACTATTAGACTAATAACTTAGCTGTGAAAAGTTTTATCAAATTATCACTGTTGAAAATTTAATATTTTTCTGGATTTTTTTCTATAAGTACTTGGAAAGTACTACTACAAGTTTCTGAATTTCAATGAATACTACTTTTTTGACATTTCATTTTGAGAATACTACTAACACAATCTTCATCACTTGAAACGTATTTAAGTCCCATGTAATGCAAAAATGTAAAATTTCATAATACCTTGCTTTGGTTTTAAGTTAATTGCTTTTCCTATGTTTACATAATAGGATAAAAATTTACACAGTCATTGAGACAGTCATGATCATACATTTGTTGACAGTTAACAAGTTGCAAGTGGGAGAAGTAGAAAGCATGCAACTTATCTAAAAAGAAACTGATTTTCAGAAGAGATGATTAGAATGAACAGAAAAATTGCAGTTCCTATTTTATCATGCCCTCTTCATCACATTCCCATTGACTTCAGAGCAGACCAAATAATCCTAGTGGACTTAGTAAGAAAGGGAAGAATAGAAGAAAAGAGTAATAAAACTATGCATTTGTTGCCTAAGCTATGGCACTGCTCCTAGAAGAACATGTTATACAGTCTACAAACAAAGTATGATTTAACTACTAGTTTCAGGGTAGAAAATGCTGTTAGTGAGGAAGAGCTTGTTACGGCAAGGAAAAACACACTAAAAATTAGAACCAGAACAAAGATTACTGGAGAATGTATAGAAAATATATCACATGGCTTTGTATTTGACTTGTCATTTCTTGTAACTTGACAATCACAATTATTTTTGGCTGGTCAGAAGGAAACTAACATTAGTTGGGTGTGATGCGTGTATATTGTAAGACTATGTAACAGAACAAAATTCTACAGATGACAGGGAGTCATGATTTCTTTGTGGGCATGCTTTATGAGCATCAGACTAATTCAGGTGTTCAGAAACTTTCTTGCTGTCCATTGACTCTATAGATATCATCTAACTATAAATGTATATATGCGTATGTATGCAAATAAATGATATACTGGGCCTGGAAATTATGGAGTTTGCTGTCTTCATAGAAGCTCCATATCTTTTTGTGTCTTCAGTTTGCGGCCAAAAGAATACTAATAACACATGAATGTTCTGGCTTTTGCTGAACAACATCAAAGCCATCTCTGTTTCCCACTATGCTCTGCCAGTAAATAAATTTGGAATATACAATAGGGTGAGTGAGGACACAACCAGGCAGATGACCTGAATTAACTAGAGATCATCCATACCACATGGAATCATATTCAACAACAAAAGGCAAAAGAAGGGGACTAGAGACATTAGCCGTCTTTGGCTGGGCATCAGTCTGCCTGTGGGAGGTGGCGAGTGGTTGTCTTGGCATCATTCTGTTTTCCTTCTCTCTTCTTTGCCTTATGCTTCCTTCACCTGTTAAACCATGTTTTTTATCTTTGCCCCCAAGCTTTGTTTGAGTATTCCTTTCCTCTTTTCCCATCCCACTGGGGTGGGTAGGAAGTGAGCAAGTAGTTGTGTGGTGTTTAACAGCCCACTGGTGTTAACCCCCAACACATGATTAAGTTACTCAAATTAAGATTCTAGAAATAGGTGGCATGAAATCCCTCACAGATATCTGAAAATTAAACCAGCCATTCAATTTTGTTAAACTGTTCAGAACCTGTAATGGTGCTCAACTGTTGACAATAAGACTATTTTAACAGTTTAGAAATATGCACAAACTAATGATGTTTTATTGTCACTAATGGTAAATCAAACAAGCAAAGAAACAATGAAGATGAAGAAAAAAGCCAACAGTAAAGGACCACAAAAACTTCACGTTTTCAAATACTGATTATATGTGTTTGAAAATGAATATTGAATGTATTATCTGGTGTTTTTTCATTTCCTGGTGATTTTCACAGGAGTCTAGACTGCAAATACATAACATAGGAAATGATAAGACTTTTCACCTAAATATTTAAAATAACTTTTGTCATTACATTAATCATAAAAAGATTATAGAAATGAGAAAACAAGACAGTGAAAGTTAGTAGGATGAATTGATAACAGTACAGATGAATGGAATGGAAAGGGTTATCAGCTATGTGACCTTTGGCAAATGACATCATCTTCTTCTCAGGCTTTTACATCAGTATAACAAAGATTCCAACTCAAAAAAATTTCAATTTTAAAAATTCCAACCTATTTATTAAACAATCTTCAGATTTTAAAATGCTATATAATATATACCAGGCTTATCTTCTAAAATAATAATAAAAACAATTAAAATTTTATTTTTTCTTTCTAGCCATAAAGATCATTGTGCTAGTTCATACTTACCTTGGTATGTCAACTTAAATCCTTGCCTGTTTTCTGAGTGATCACTATAAAAATGGACAAGTGTTTCATGAGTAGTACTTAGCAAGGGTGATGGGAGTTCCATTCCACTAAACTGGCCAATCATAGAACTGGTGTGGTGAGGCCCATTCTGAATTTCAAGGAAATCATGATTTGCTTCAGTGGAGAAATTCAGAAACTGAATGTGTGCACCTGTAGCATTGAGAAAGGAAGAAAAATTTTATAACTCACGTTGCTTAATAGCAAAGCATGGAAATAAAAATAAAATTATAATAGTTGTTACAGGCTCTATATTTATACTTTAGTTGCCATTCAAAGTGGGATGCTGAAGTTAAAAAAATAGCTGCTGAGTATTACAAGAGTTGGAGTTTCTTTTTTTTTCTGGTTACTAATAAATATCATAACCACACATAAAGGGACAAATGAAAGCAAGCCATAAAGCCACAAAGTCAACACTGGGGATTTTTCATATTCCTGAATCAATAAACAGAAAGACTCAAGGGAGGGACAAACCACAAATCCTGCTGTGCCATGGCATGGTGGGGACTCTTCCACTCCAAGTGCATCCCTGTAGCTGGGCCAAGGCCTCCCACAAAGGCTCAGGATCAGCTAGGCACCCAGGGAGGTTACTAACAGAACGATCTTTCTGAGGCAGAAGATTACTTATCTACTTCCAGCTATCTACTCTACCTCATTTTTCCTGCCCCACATCATCTATATTTGTCTCCTTTTCCCTGTAGCTTAGGCCAGTGTGTCTTTGAAGCCATTTTATCCTGTATGCAGCCCTGTAAGACGCACTGAACTCCAGACTGGTGACAGGGACTTCAGAAAATTTACCACAAACCCTCTCCAGGAATCAGGTGCTTGAACAAGGCTTTTCAGCATTCAAAACATGCTGAACAGTTGGAATTATAACATAATCTCATGAGAAGAGCTGTTTTGAAGTTCTGGCACTATTTCCTGTGGACTAAGGACCTGAAACCCAGTCTTAAACTAGGCAGATGTATCATATCAAAACAGAAATGAGGGATGAATCCCTGGTTTGGAAACCTAGTAACTTACAACTGCACTTTTTGGGCCTAACTTTGCTCTGGTAGACTGTGAAGAACCAGCTGTAATAGAATAAAACAGAATTACAGAATGAGCCAACAAAGCAGTGTGAAATAATCAATGCCTTAACTCTGCTTGACATGCTTACTTAGCAGTTGAGACATATTCTTCATTCCAGGAGAGAACACTATAGATTAATTACCAGGGTAATAGATTACCAGGGTAATTCACTCAGTCTTGTTTATAGCTGATTTCTTCACCTCTGTGGTTTAAGATTAAATCAATGGTATGAAAAAGATTTTTCTTTTTTTTCTATGAGAGAAATTAAATAAGCTACCAAATAAACTGGTTATTATAAAACACTTGTAAAAATATGGGATATTTAGTTCTAGTACCTTCTCTGACCTATGCAAAGTGGGAGGTATGAAAACAAGTATTTCAGCTGCTGAATAAGAACACTTAATCCAGTGCTATCAACAGAGGGGTACACACTGAACATATCAGTCCTAATATCAGCCCTCTCTGCATGATGCTTGATATGGCTAGTCTGGCTTGGATGAAGTCACTAATTTTACAGTGCTCTCAGGGTCTGAGATGAGGTAGAACACCAAGCACCCGGAAACATCTTGACTTCAATATTGATGGCTAGTGATTCCCAACTGAGACTGGACGTCAGCACCATGGAAATGATAAAGAATTGAGCAGAAACTTAGTGTTATACCTAAATTGCAAAAGTGACAAGAAGATATTCAAATTTGGCATATGGATATAGCGCCCAAACATTATTTAGGTATTTGAATAAAAGCATTTTCTGTTATGAAATAGTCTCTGATGAGATGTGGTGTACTTTTAAAACTGAATCATTCTAATTTAATTTCTGAGAAGGAATTTCTGTGTCTAGTTGTATATATTCAGTATAGAAAGGCTTTGTGTTTTAAAAATATTAAAGTAGGTTTAAAGACAACTACCTGAAGTAGTTTCAAATATGCTTATTTCAATTAGAGAACACATTGTATGTGTTCCCTCAAGCCTTAAGTCCAAGTTTATACAATTTGCAAGTGTCAATTTGATGTGTCAGAGAAGAATTTTTCTACACTAAACAATTTCTTACATAAAATTACATGGAATAAAACTGATAGCTGCAGAAAATAAATCATTATCTGGTCAGACTATAATTATATTACTTCCTGCTTGAATCTCAACAGCACTTCCTCTCTCACTTGAAAATACTCTGAATAATGAAAATTCCAAGCTGAGGGAATAGTTTTCACAAATGTGAATTAATTAACAGCTACATGTGATAATTTTAAAATCACAAATACTCACTTGAAAATATATGTGATCAATTTTAAATTATTTCAATTTTAGTAATGTCTTCTTTTACATGACTGATACATTTTCATGTAATGAAGAGAGCACTATATTTTGGTACACATTTATCTCCCACAATTTTATTGTTAGACTGTTTAAGCACACAATTGTTTTAATACAATAGAATGTATGTAAACAAACAGCTTTTCAGTAGACAAGCTTATACTTCAAATTAAAATAATACCCAAGTAGAAGTACTTTGTGAAAGATCACATCAATTAGTTTTTTTTTTAACCTGATGTAAAGATATTATATGAGGATTATTTAAAAAAATTTTTGAGGAAGAATATCACTGTAGGAACTTGGTGGTAAAAAACATCCTTTGTAGTATTTTTGAAGGAAATGATAGATCAGTGCTATGAACACCTTGTATGCATTAAAACCCTTACTAAACAAAACTATTATATTTTCTATTTGTAGAATAACCAGCACCAGAGACTTTCAAAGAAGTGAGAGAAAGAATAACAGGATAGAAGGTGCTCATGTGCAAATAATTCATGAAAAATTTTCTACATGGAAAAGCTTAAAGAAAAAGAGCAACTCTGACACATATGAAGGACTATTTTTCAAAGGCAGTATTGTAATAACCTAATTAGGATGACATTACTTATCATTTCTATTACCTTGAAAATGTAGCTAGATAATGTCCAAACTAGCAAAGGATGTTCTGTCTGTGGTTATAAAAATCCCTCTTATGAATGCAAGTGGAGAACGTGGAAATAAACTAATTTCCTCAGGAAAAATTATAAACTTAGTAATGAGTTTTTAAAATTAATTTTCTTGTTGAACATTGGCATTGAGTTTATAGTATGGGATGTGAATTTTCACGGCAAGGAAACTTATTCCTCTCTCACTTCTGATAATGATAAAAGGCTGTGTTTTATACTTACAGATTCCTTATTATCCATGATTACCTTTTCAACATAGTTATTACTTATTTCTGAAGGTATTCTTTGTATGACAACAGTTTCCATGTAAACCTACAAAGATTCTAA